TTGGCGGGTGCTCTGGTGTGGTTTGCTTCTTCTTTCCTATCTAACATCTATCGTCCTTATCTCCTTTTCTTCTTTTTTTACGTTTGTTACTCTCTTGTAACACCTCTAATCTTCTGACGCTCCTATGACCTTATGCAATTGCAAGCGCCGTAAACCCCCTACTAAAACTAAAAGCAAAACAAAACAAAGCAAAGCAATACAAAGCAAAGCCAAGCAGACAGAACCAAACCGACCAGACCAAACGAAGTCAGACAACACCAGACTGCACCAAAGCAAAGCATTGCAAAGCAAAGCAAAGCAGACAGAACCAAAGCAATACAAAGCAAAACAGACAGAACCAAAGCTATACAAAGCAAAGCAAAGCAGACAGAACCAAAGCAATACAAAGCAAAGCAAAGCAGACAGAATCAAAGCACTACAAAGCAAAGCAAAGTGAAGCAAACTGAACGAATGAAACATGTGTCATCCCCCCCTCCCTCTCCTTCCATCCCTCCCTCTCTCTCTCTCTCTCTCTCTCCTCCAGGTGCGGTAAGAGCACACAGGTGCCGCAGTACCTCCTGGACACGGCCCTGGGGCAGGCTGAGTTCTCCGCCAACATCGTGTGCACGCAGCCGCGGAGGATCTCCGCCATGGCCGTGGCTCAGAGGGTCGCTGAGGAGCGCTGCGAGAAACTGGGCAAGTCTGTGGGCTACCAGATACGGCTGGAGAGTGTCATGGTATGACGCATGGCGTGTATGTCTGGTTGTGTGTGTGTCTGTGTGTGTGCGTGTTTGTATGTGTGTGTGTGTATGTTTGTATTTGGCAGGTCCCAGAGTGGCTCTGTAGGTCTGACCTGTAGCTCGCCTAGCTCGCACCGTGCAAAAGGTATTACATTATCGTGTGCTTGAGCAGCGTCGCTGTGTGGTCTGTCTGTAGTCAGCTGAGTTGCGCAAAGCATCAGACGTGCTATTCAACTGTTTTGTAAAACACGTCTGACATGTCTAGCACGCAGCCTCGCTTCCTGTTTATTTTCGACTGAAGTTCTTTCACAGATCATCAAAATTCTAAAATGGGAAGAATACAACCCCGGGGGTACAAAATGACCCCAGGGCTTACGGAGAGGGCTAAATAACCTAATAGTGTTGATAGAGGTGTTCAGCACATACTGATTCGACACAAAAAAATGAATTGCCC